CCAAAGGAAAAATGGTAGTTCATGCTTTCTTAGGTTTGAAGGCTTTACTCATAATCATTATTTCTTATGTCAAAGCTAACAAAAATTTCCTTGGGATGTTGAAGGTGGGAAAGAGAATCTTTTAAACCAGAGACATTTCAAAAATTGCACTTAATTATAGGACCCTTTTATGTAAATTTTTGATTTTTTAATTCTTATGTAAAAGCTGTTATTTAGACTTGATTTGGTATTTTTAGACATTCATCAAATTGTCATTTCATTATTTTAAAATCAGTCCTCTTCAGGAAAGAGATGACTAATATTAATGTCATCGTTATCAGGAAATAGCTCGGCATCTGTGTGATATTCTTGAGATGTACTGAAATTTTTTTTACAAGTTTGGTTTTTCTAGCACATCTTAGGTAGTTACTGTGTTATGGAGAAAAGATTCTCATTATTCTGGCACAGTGGAGCTAGCTACATGATTCTAGAGAAGTAAGTGTTGTGTGGGAAGACTTGGCTAGCTAGGAGTAAAACATGGACTCTAAGGAACTAATTTGCCTTCTGAAATTTTGATTTGTCTTGACAGGAGGAAAGCAGGATATAGATGATGAAGTAAAGCTGGGAAACATTCTTTTTCATTATTAACCTTGGTATTTTAGAAATTATTTAAAATGCTTTGTCACCCTTAAATATCTTCATGCTTAGAAATAACAGAAATTCTGTCTAATGATATGCTTTGGGATGTTTGGACTTTGCTTTTGTTTTAGTTTTTAGTCAGATGTTGGGTTTAAAGTAATTTAGTGCTTCTGAGATTGACCATCTAAGGTTTTTGTCATGCAGATAGTATCTTCTATAGAATATAATTGATAACATGATAAAAAGGCTCATGCCTTTTGTTGACTACCACTTGATCTGTATATGGCCCTTGATGCTGCAAAAATATATGTCTGACTATCCATGGCTTTTTTTCCCATTGCAGTTTACAAAGGACATCATTTGTTAGGTAATTTTGTATTATTCCTGGAGGACAATAGCAACTAGCCAAACCTTAGCAGACTGCTACAGGTGGAGATTGAGTTCTAACCTACCTCTTTTTTGATGCAATAAGCACTTTATTACTTTTATCTTTAAATGTGATTTTCAGTTCATTTCACCAACGTGCCATACTTTCATAGATGACATAATTTTTTAAGGCAGTAGGCTACTCCTACCTTGAATGTGATTGCAGAGTCAGCTTTTCCATTCCATTTGACCTAATCAAGATTAGAGAGAAACTTACAAACATTCAGAAGTTTCCTTCTCTTTAGGTCAAAGGTGGAGGTGGAGACTGTGTGGGTTTGTTTTAATTCATTCTAAGAATACTTCCTATTTTATTCTCTCACTGAATAAGAACATTATACTTATTTATTATTATTAAGAGTTTGCTGAGGATTGGCAGCATTTTTCTCTTATATTGTCAATGAAATGGACGTAGGAAACAAGAAAAAAATTTGAGGTCCCTCAGTAGTCAGGTTTTTGTTTACCTTCTTTTTGTTTCTATTCATTTGCTCACGCATTACATCTATTTATCTAACTTGACTGTCTTCTAGGTACAAGAGACCAACTTCATCAGTGTTACTTCCTAGATATTCTTTTCCTCTCTTTTACATAATGGCTTCTTTCATTATGTTCCAGTTGCTGTTACAGGGGTACTATGTATCTGAATGTTAATCTATCTCAGCCTTTCTCAGTCAGGGTTATTCATCTGACCCAAAGAAGACTGAAAATTATTTGAGTAACTATTTTCCTAAATCTCTCTCAAGGATATAATTACTACCATTTTAGCTGCATAGGAGAAAATTACTTCATTACATATAAATAATGCCTTAGGATACTGGTTCTCAAAGTGTACTCTGGAACCCAGACCCTTTCAGAGGTCTGAAAGATCAAAATTATTTTCTTAACAATTCTAAGACATTATTTACCTTTTTGTTCTCATTCTTTAACAAGTGTACAGGGGAGTTTTCCAGAGGCTACATGGTAGGTAGTCTTGGAATAGATTGAGGGGGCCGGCCCCGTGGCCAAGTAGTTAAGTTCGCACGTTCCGCTCCGGTGGCCCAGGGTTTCACCAGTTTGGATCCAGGGCCTGGACATGGCACCACTCCTCAGGCCACGTTGAGGTGGCATCCCACATGCCACAACTAGAACGACCCACAACTAAAATATACAACTATGTACTGGGGGGATTGGGGGAGGGAAGAAAGCAGAAAAAAAAATAGATTGAATGCAGAAGTAGATAGAAGAATTTAGTTATTTTCTATTAAACACAACATTACAGATATTTGCAAAGATGTAAAACAATGCTTTTCTTGCCATTTCTTTTGTTGTATTGGAAGATAATAGTTTTCCTAAAAATAGATTGTCTTTGCTAATGTGTAATGGGTTTAATTTTTTCTAATTAATTAATACATAAATGAGGCAGTCCTCACTTTGCACAGTTCCAAAATGCACTAATTTAACTTACTACAGTTTAGTAAAATAATACCAGTTCCACAATGTAGTTCCAATTTGACTACCACCGTGTATTAACTGCATAATTAACTGTGTGAATAATTGCATAAAATAAATTTTGCTGCTAGCTCTTTAGTCCACAGATCACTCTGTAAATAACAAAGGCACATCATGATCAGTGACCAATCACCTCACCTCTTTCAAAGTTTGTCTAGGATTGGTCACTATTTATCTTTATTAGTTCATGCACACAAATCAAAGCCTGTAATTGTGTTACCTCTTTGTCTCCTAGTGATAATCCCACTTTTTTTATGAAATGGATAATTGGAAGAGTGAATTAGCCACCAAAAATAAAAGTATGGCAAAGAAATGGAAAGCGATAATGCTGAAAGTGAAATTTGAACATAAATGGAACATGTGGAACATAAATGGAGTTACAGAAGAAATAATCATGGAAATGTTGACAGTGCTGCTGTTAAGAGAATTTAAGATATACAGCCAGAGGAACTTAGGGTGAACATATTGATATAAATGAGCAAAGTGGTCATGACAAAAGATGATGATGTCCCAGAGGAAGTGACTCTGGCAAACCAGTTCTCATAGAATCTCTCAGAGATTTTCACAACTTTGAAAGTGCAAAGGATAAAATGTTAGGAGATGATCCCAGTTTAGGAAGGAATATGACAGTTGACCAAGATATAGGAAATATGCTCACTCCATGCAATGAGAAGAAGGCAGGCACTGTTCAAACTACTCTTGATAAGTTTGTTTTGTGTGTGTGTGAGAGGAAACTTCGCCTTGAGCTAACATCTGTTGCCAATCCTCCTCTTTTTTTTTTTTTTGCTTGAGAAGGATTAGCTCTGAGCTAACGTCTTCACCAGTCTTCCTCCACTTTGTATCTGGGATGTCTCTACAGCATGGGTGATGAGTGGTATAGATCTGCACCTGGGATCCGAATCCGTGAATCCAGGCCCCCAAAGTGGAACCTGCAGAACTTTAACCACTCGGTCGCAGGGCTGGCCCCTTGATGAGTTTTTTATAAAGAAGACATAAAATTCTCAATGTTTCTGATGTTTTAAATTACAGTGTACTAAATAAATGTTCTACTATTTTTCTTTTTTTAAACTTTGTAAATACCAGTAATGTTTAATGTTTTGACAAAATTTGTAAAAATCACAGAACAATTGTAATTCTTTACATTGATTATTAAGATCACTTTGTATGGTTTCAGCTTGCACAATCATTTTTTATGGTCCTGCCCTACGGTACAAAGTGAAGACTGCCTGTGTTCAAAAACTTCCCCCATTTAATTTTTAATATAGTAAATATTGATGGATATGTCATATAAACAAATATCTTTATATTTCCCCTTATGCTTGTCTCCTGTATTTTCTGTCCTGGTTGAATAGTATAACCACCAAGCCTAAGCCTAAGAAACAGTGAGTACTCCTATATCTCCCTCATAGTTTACATTTCTCATTGTTTAATAGCTCTCATAATTATTCTGTTCTCTTCATTCCCCACTGACTGTCTTTACTTAGGCACTCATCTGTTCCCCTTTATAGGGTATGACTATAAAGGGATAGCATAGGGGAATTGCTTAGGAGGCAGAACTGTTCTGAATCCTGATTTTGATGGTAGTTACGTGAATGAATACATGTTAAAAATCATAAACTTTTTTTTTGTCTTGTCATGATATTGGAATTTGTGTTTGGCATTCTTTCAAAATAGGGCTTACAAATGAATCGATAAGTACTTACTGAATATGGTGTTCAAGGCATTGTCCTATGTGCTGAGAAAAATATAAACATAAAGAAGATATGTTTCTGCCCCAGAGGAATTTATATTCTAATAAGAGATAGACAACACAAATAGCAGTAAGATAAATTATAATTGTCTCTTAAGGGAGACACATGCAAAATGCTAGCTTGTGCTAAGAATTTGTAGGAGGATAATTATTCATTGAAGAGATGGCATTTGAGCTGAGTCTTGGAAAATGCATTGATTTTTGGCGGTGAAAAAAGGGAGACAAAGGACATTCTGATGAGAAGAAAAAATATAGCGTACTTTACAGATTTGTAAGTTTTCTTATTTATAGCTCGTAAAAACTTTGGATCTATACTTCATGAATACTCACATCCTATTTTATTCAGTTTTGTGCTCCAAAACTCTTAAAAACTTTTGGATCTGATACTCAAATTTCTTATAAGTGGTATAATGGCTTTTGAGTATTTTGGAGTTAATAATTTAGGTCATTTTTTAATTCTGATTTTAGTGGCTGTGAGGAAGGTGAACTATTCCTAAGTCTTAGTGTAGTCAATAGATAGTAAAGATATAAGTGAAAAGCCTGATATTTCTGTAACATTTTCTATCTACAGAGTGAATTTGAATAAATGGAGTTTTCAGAGTATAATCTTTTAAAGTATTTATATAATACTTCCCCAAATTGATTTCTTCTGTTTTTCCCTACTTAGGTAAATGAATCAACTCTGTTTAAAAGCAATAATAATAACCCTTTTTTTCCATAGGTTTTCTGTGAAGACCCTGATTGATCGGTCCTGCTTTGAGACAATTGATGATTCTTCTCCTGAATTTAACAATTTTGCAGCTATTTTGGAACAGATTCTAAGTCACCGGCTAAAAGGTAACATTTCTAATGTATTATTTATTCTCCTTACAGCTCTTTTTTTTAATAAGATTGAAATTTTAGAAACCATATAATCGGTGTGATTTAGAGAGCAGCCATGCCACATCTTGAGAAACATGAAACTGATTGTAGAATGCCTAATCTTTTGCCTATGTCGCTGGAAAGGAATCTCTATTCTCAGATTTATACCCATTTCTGGGTTGCATTATAATATTGAGTGTATTAATTGCCATGTACAAGGACTGAGTCATTTTCTGTAAGTAATTAAAGTAAAAACTTAAATTAAGGTGACCCATCTTCAAAGGTTACTAGATAGTATTTTCTTTTGCTAGGGAAGATTGGCCCTGAGCTTACATCTGTTGCCAATCTTCCTCTTATTTTTCGCTTGAGGAAGATTAGCCATAAGGTAACATCTGTGCCAGTCTTCCTCTATTTTATATGTGGCTTGCTGCCACAGCATGGCTGATGAGTGGTGTATGTCTGTGCCTGGGATCCGAACCCACAAACCCCAGGCCACTGAAGCAGTATGAACTGAAGTCAACCACTATGCCACGGGACCGATCCCTAGATGGTATTTTAATCAATTTATAAACAAGCATCCTGGCATTAAGTTTGTTTGCTTAATCTCTTACTTCATTAAACTGCAGAATCTTTGAAAATTTTTTATCAACAAGTAGGTTAAGAAAGAGGTGTGTAAAAGAGATGCTTGACTTTGGTTTTCTTAAAATCAGTAAATATACTGAAATCAGAAACAGAGATCTCTTAAAATGTAAAAGGGAAAATAGGAGCTATGTTCTCTCAGGATTATAAAATATTTTTAAGCTAAAAATATATGTCTGGGGGGGAGCTGGCCCTGTGGCCGAGTGGTTAGGTTTGTGCGCTCCACTGCAGGCAGCCCAGTGTTTTGTTGGTTTGAATCCTGGGTGCGGACATGGCACTGCTCATCAAACCACGCTGAGGCAGCGTCCCACATGCCACAACTAGAAGGACCCACAACGAAGATTATACAGCTATGTACCAGGGGGCTTTGGGGAGAAAAAGGAAAAAATAAAAAAATCTAAAAAAATATATATATGTATCTGGGGGCCGGCCCAGTGGCATAGTGGTTAAGTTCATGTGCTGCTCTTTGGCGGCCCAGGTTGTCACAGGCGCAGACCTACACACCTCTCATCAAGCCATGCTGTCGTGGTGATCCACATACAAAATAGAGGAAGATTGGCACAGATGTTAGCTCAAGGACAATCTTCCTCAAGTAAAAAGAGGAAGATCAGCAACAGATGTTAGCTCAGGGCCAATCTTCCTCACCAAAAAATGAAAAATAATAATATATATCTGTAAAATATAACTGATAACATCAAGAAATATTATGTAGCATAAATCTTAGTAACAATAAATAATAACTTTATCACGTTAATTTTGGTATCTAGTCTTCCTAAAGGGAACTTGATCATTGGATATTTTCACTTAAGTTTTTATTATCTAAACAGTTTTAATGATATAGTTTCAAATTAGTAATCTGCTTTAGTGATGTAACTTATGAGAGTCTCAAATTTAATCTGAAGGTTAATTTTCGATGCTGAAGGCATTCAGTTTTACTCTAAGTATTTTAGTTGAGCAGTCCTATGGGCTTATAACAAAGGGTTGAATTTAATTACATGGGGAAACAAAATCTGAATTCAGTCAGTCCTTTTCAGTTTAAAATGGGGTCCATAAAATCACTGATGCTTTTTTGTTAAATGTTGATTATTTTCCATTTAAAAAGGGTTATTTAAAAAATTTTTGGTGTTCTGTCTTTTCTAAATTTTCTGTCATGAATATGTTACTTTTTATAAGAAAATAAGTTTTTATAAAAGCAAAGGGTATGAGTATTTTGAGATGTTGTGGTTACTATATTGTGTGGTAATCATATTTTTAAATTTTCTATATACATTTATAAGTAATACCTGACTGAAAAACACATGTAATAGAGTTTGATGTGTCTTAATGTTTACAAGTGTTCCCTTGATTTGGTATACCATTTGGCATATGATTCACTCACAGAATACATAAATAACTATCAACAGAAAACAGACCATGTTGCTGTCTCCATGCTGAGTGATTGGGTAGACTCATTACCAGATAAGTGAACCGCTCCTGCATGTCTATCTGCCATCTTCTGAGTCATACCTGAGCAAAATCTAGATCATACACCTTTTGAGTGACTTCTTAACAATGACTGTTATTTCTGAGAAGTCAACATACTACTACTTTGAAAATAGAATCTCTAGTTAATTTATAGATAAGAATTCCATTAGCATTACTAAGGTAGTAATAAAGATGATACGGTGAGATTTGTGTTAATTTTTTAAGCTATTTAAGATTAAGAATTCAAAACATGCTTTTGGAAAACGTTCCTGTATATCAACCATTGTGGTCACTGTTATTAGTATAGGTATGAATCCTGAAATGATCTACAACTTTCGAGATCAGGTATTTTAAAGATTCAAGTGTTTAGACACTTTTCTATATTATTTCCCATTTTTTAGTATTCTAATATATAACAAATTGCTTTTACTTTTGGAGAAATTATATGGTTATTTTGATAGTACAGTATTCACTTAAAATTTAGTTATTTAACAACTAATTTTTCCAATGTTTTTCTTTATAGAAGTACAAATTTAAAATGAATAACTTCATGGGTTTTTAAGATTTACTTTTCTCCAGGTATTTTTTATTTTTGAAATAAAAGGGCATTTAGTTTAAATATTAAGTTTTTCTAGAGAAAGATAAAATCCCCCCCCAGGCGCAGTATAGGTTCTGCTGACGTGGATTGAGTGGAGAGCTGAAACAGTCATCTACCTAATTCTAGAATCCCCAGTATTGAAGAACAGGAGGCTTTAAAAATCACATACGTTAATCTTGTTTGCAGTAATCCCTCAATAAGATGATGATCTTACTTTTCTGGAATATGGCTGAGAACTAGGAATTAATCACAGAATATAGCCTTCAAAGAGACCTTGGTTCAGGTCTTCAGTAATTTTTGAACGTTTATTTTGTTGGTTTTTTCTTTTTTGAGGAAGATTAGCTCTGAGCTAACTTCTTCTGCCATCCTCCTCTTTTTGCTGAGGAAGACTGGCCCTGAGCTAACATTTGTGCCCATCTTCCTCTACTTTATATGTGGGACGCCTACCACAGCATGGCTTGCCAAGCGGTGCCATGTCTGCACCCAGGATCCGAACCGGTGAACCCCGGGCCTCTGATGCAGAACGTGCGAACTTAACCGCGATGCCACTGGGCCAGCACCTGAACCTTTATTTATTTTAAAGCATAATCTTTCTCCCCACCCTATTCCCACCTCCCCTAATAAAAGCCACTGCAGATGCTAGATCTATAAGTGGAACATTTTGTTGAAGCAGGATGGGGAAATCAGTCCTTTTTCCTCCTCAGCAGCAGTCGCACCTCTCCCTGCAACTCCACAGCACCACTTGAGGTAGTGCCATGGATCATGGATTAAAAGTCACTACTCAAGTCTCTCTCCTATTGAAGTAATCCACTCAACGATATTTCTAACTGGGGGACATACAGTCTTTGTTTTAATACTTCTGATATCTGGGAATGTAGGATAGTAAAACAGTCCATCACATTTTGGGGCAGTTTGGATTGTTAGAAAATTCTTATGTATATAAAGTGAACCTATCTGACTGTGCTTTGATCTGTTTTCTGCCACTTATTTCAATTGTGAGCCTAATAAATGTAAGAAGATTGCTATTATATAACCCTTTCCTTCGGTTCCCCTTTTTCTTTCTTCCAAGTAAGTTATCTCTAGTTTCTTCAATCTTCTGGAACCCCATAATCTTATTCTTCTGGTTTGTCACTGGTTTGTTAGTATTGCTCTTAAAATCTGGTACTCAGAGCTGAGTAAAGTACTTTAGATAGGCTAACCTCTGTATTTGTTAGAATTTAAGATTACGTTGACATTTTGATTCCCACTTTATACGTTTGGTTCACGTTGAAATTAAGGCCAAGTAGAATCTCAAGGCTTTTTAAAAATTGAACTATTGCTTGTCTTATGTTTTGTGTTCTCTAAATTAGCTGCCTGAGCTCAAGTTTAGTAGGGATATCAAACTTTGTCATCCACTTTAGAGATGGATGAGGTGGCTGTAAAAATGAAATTTAGGAGCACTTCTGCTTCCAGGAAGATGAAGTGAACATACTTTTCACTATTTCTCCTACTAAGTAGAACCCCAAACCCCGGATATTATGTATAAAACAAACACAAGAAGACTCTGAAAGGTAGAGAGAAGGAAGACTGTCTAGGGATTTCAGGACCTTAGGAAGGATGTGGTGGCTTCCTTGGATTTTCTGGTTGCCTTTTATATCCAAAACTGTGTATTTGGTAAGCCAATAGCCTACAAATGTCAACGGGTGCGAAAAAACAGTCCCAAGAAGGACCTGCTCTCTCTAGCTAAAGGTCCAGGAATAGAATAACTTAGCATGACAGAAAATTTTTAGACAATATCTGCTCTACTTTAGCCAAATACCACAGGAAAACTGTGGCACTATCTGCACCCAGGCCAGAAAAAGCTGAGTAGGGAACCTGGAATTCCACTTTCATGAGGCTATAACAGAGTGTCCCAACACCACCATCAGATTGGTATCAGAGAAGGCCAAGCAGAGAGCTGAGACTTCTTTCCTCCTAGCTAGCTAGTTGTGAGCCTTTTCTCCTCATCTACCCCCATACTGTGTTAACGGAGAGCCTGGACTTCTGTCCCTACCTAGCAATAATGTGTTGCTTCCCTGCCATGCTTGGAAGTTGTGTCAGAAGAGGCCTTTTGGAGAGTTATGGCTTTCATTATCACCCAGTGGTAATGAGGCTACCCCCAGTACATTGTCAATGGAGACCATTCAGGAAGCCTGAACTCCACCTCCACCCAGCAGTAATGAGGATTCCCCCCTCAAGTGTCAATGGAAGCCAACTGGGAAACTTGGACTTCTCCCTTTACTTGGCAGTGGTGAAG